GCTGACTAAATACTTTTTTGCCCCACTGTATGTATGTATGTATGTTACAAATACCTAATGAGAGCTTCTCTGTACTCTTTCATGGCTGTTTATACTGAAACAGAAGAATGTATACTTTTATATTAATTTTCCAAAGTTATAACAATTGTAGCATTTGGACCAATTAGACACACAATTATTCATTATATTTAATGAATAATCCAGCAATCCCCCGCGCCGGCAGGACATCAAAGTTGCAGCAAGCCATGTTGCAACTTTTCACCGGGGAGAGAACTCTCCCAATCACCACCGAGTCAAGAGTAACATCTTTGGAGTTCACCACGCTTCAAACCCGGGAGAATGTGATCACAAGCCCAACACCACCAAACATTTATTCCATCAAGACTTTCATCCGAGACTGCATCCGGATGCTCATTCAACGACCAAGGCAATGCAAGAACTGTACATTTAACTAAATGAAACAGAGGTTTAGTATAAGCTGTAGACCCTGTTGTAAAACGGCGCTGATGGTTTCTGCTCTGGTGGTTAACTGACTGTTTAGTTAATAGAACTTTTGTGCACAAATTACATGAGTTTCTGATTCTGTCACTGCTTGTAGATAATGTCCATTTAACGATTCCTGATCTTGTTACGTGCTCTAATACACTAGTACTATAAGAAAGTTATTTTCTATGGCCACGAAAAGATTGATATGAAATTACAGTGAATGTTTGCTGGACGAACAGATTAGTTGATGGTAATATGCTAGTTACTACTGGCAGCTGATATAAATAATGGTAATTGTAATTATTTATATATATTTCCCTTTTGAGCTAATTTGCTACACAATTTTACAAAACAAATACGATTTTCACTTATTTTCAATTATTTTGTGGTTAATGAATGGGACCCAGTGTTTGGTGTCCAGTTTTTACAAGCTTCATCACCCTTAACCTCTTGTGCCATTACCATTGGAGATCTGGTTGCCGTTCTCTACGGGTGCTGGGTTTGACGAGTTGGGTGAGATGTGGTTGTTGGCATTTTTGTCCTGTAAATGTGCTGATGGAGAGATGGGGCCTTGATCCTCTTGACCTGGCAGGTTAATGTTGGAATTTGAGAGTCCTATGGAATAGAAATGAATAAAAATATTCAATAAATACATTGATTCACATTAAGACGATGTGTAACCTATGCTTCAGCATCACATAAGACCCCACAGACCATCTAACCGTGACCGTCGCCCTATGTGTTCCCAGTTTATGACAAATAAAGGTGACGACGTGACTTGCAAGTTAACACCTGCCTGCTTGAGTCACAAACATTTCTGCAGGGGCATCTGCAGCTGCTCCGGCCAGGAATTGTATGAATGGTTGAGTCTAGCAATGATGTTGACGGCAGAGAGAGCGGAAGCACGGGGGGATGTTTAAGCCTCATGGCATGTGCGTCTGCTTGGATCTGACCACCACAGGGATGGATATAGCACAGGGGTCAGCTGCCCCTTTAACCCCCTGTTAAAAGCCCTGTTTCCATTACAGCATGCTCTCACTCATGTCATAAGCACCTGACTTCACAGCCACCATCTGGGGTTATCAGAGATTCATTAACTGCAGCTTTGTGTCTGGGACCCCTACTGACACTACCTAATATATTCACATGAGGAAAACAGTCACATTGCATTACACTTGAGATCGGCCATTATGATTATGTGTATCTGAGCACTGATGTGTAATTGGGTTTGTCTTTAAAAATATTTCCTTGTAAATGAGGTATTTCATTTCATTCTAAGTCTATAGGCTCATATATAAATACAGTAGGGTCCAAAATTCTGAGCCCCCAAATGAAAATGCTACTGTTTTGGCCAAATTATCAACATACTATTGAAAAGTAAAAAATGTTCCCCTTGTGATGATCTGATTACAATTAAAATAGAAAATCTTATTTTTTTCTTAATTCATCTAAATATTTATTTTAAATATTAATAATAATTACTCCTGTGATGCAAAGCTGAATTTACTACTTTAATCAGTCATTACTCCAGTCTTTAGTGTCACATGATCCTACATAAATCATTCTAATATGCTGATTTGCTGTTCAAGAAATATTTCTTATTATTATTATCAATGTTGAAAACAGTTGTGATGCTTAATATTTATGTGAAAACCATGATGCATTTTTTCAGGTTTCTTTGATACATAGAAAGTTCAAAAGAACAGCATTTATTTGAAATATAATCTTGTAACATTACTAATCTCAATTTAAAGAGTCAATGAATGAATGTATAATGAAATTAAAGTATTTAAAAAGCAATCTGACCCTAAACTTTTGAATGTTAGTGTAACTATCAGGGATCAAACTTGAAAAAGAAAATGAAATTAAACAGGATACACCTGTAAATCAAGACGACTGACAGTCATGCAGACTATATAATAGAGAAACAGTTGGGACAGTTGTGTTGTAGACATGCTTTGGAATATTTTCAAGCATGCCACTAACACACACATTATGACAGATTAATGTTTGTTCATTTCACACACACAGTTGTGAACGTACAGTAATGCGAGAAGTAATTTCCTCTGCTCTGGAGTGACGCTTAGTGTGTCCTAAGATGCGCACACACACACAGACTGTACTTTGGGGATTCAAACACATTGCAGCGATTCACATCCGCCAGCAGAGCGGGAGACTTTGATATTTAATATTTCATAGCTACATCATCTCTTGTCCATGTAATATGTATGTGACTGGAG